TTATTTTTATTTTTGCCATTATTGGTTGAATGGGTACTGCTTTGTGTTCTTTAGCATATGTATCATTGCTGTTTGTTATCATATTTTGTCCTGCTTTATCATCATCTAACTTAATATATATTATTGATGGCCTTTTAGTATTGGGATTTACATCTATTTTCAACACAGTACCTATCTGACCATTGATCAGTCTGTCTGAGATGTCAATATTCACTGTAAGCATCACTCTTGCAGTTTCTTTTAAATATATTTCATAATGAAGTCCACCTGTGTCAGATTTGTCACTTCTCAGGATTCTGTCAATATCTTGTTTATTTACATTTTTAGGATATTGATCTGTAGCTGTTAGAGTAAACATAGGTTTTAGAATCTTTTCTAATTTTGTATTGTTGTGTTGGTTTACCAAAATGTTTTCAGCCCATATGTGCAGAGCAACAGATGGATAATTGTCATCTGATGAACTTGTTGTTCTTAAATTAATGCACTGAATGTCTTCATCATTTTGGGACGCAGTTCTAAATCTGTTCAAAAGTTCAATAAATGGTTGGTCATCCTTCTGCCTCATTATTTGTGTAAGTTCAATCATTTGAAATACATGCCAAGGATGACAAACATTAAAAATGTCATTTATATAATTCTCAAAAACTGGATTCCTGCGAATTGGTGGTAATTGATATAAATCGCCAACAGAAATGATACTTATACCAGCAAAAAGTTGCGAGTTGGTAGTAGCAAATATTTCTTTTAATCGTTGATGAATATGAAGTAGAGTAATGTTAGCAACCATTGAAATCTCATCAATTATTATTAGCTTTAACTGAGACAGTAATAATCTCATCTGTGTTCTTTTTTGGTCAGACATTCCAGGTAGTTCATTTTCTTTTGTATATTTAGGTATTGCAAATGCTGTGTTTATGGTTGTACCATCAATGTTGATTACCGCTACACCTGTAGGTGCTGTTAGTAGGACTATTGGTTTTTCTGGATTAATTGGAGGATATCTAAATGTTTTCACGATAGTATGATAGATTGTTCTAATCAAATGGCTCTTTCCGGCACCTGCACCTCCAGTTATAAACAGATAAATTGGTTGAATATTTTCTGGCTTTAAGCTTTTGAGGTTTTTTATTTTATTTCTACTCCATGAAACAACAATGTCATATGCTTTGCGTTGCATTTTGTTTAAAGATCTAACTGATTCACGTAATTCGTCATCAGATATTTCTTTTGGCTGATTATATGTTGTAATTCCTGTTGTATTAACATTTTGAATAGGTTGTTAATTTGCAGCAAGGTGTGACGGAACTTGTTCATTGAATATCTCATCTGATAATGATTGATCTTGGATCTCTAATTGTATTTCAACAGGGCAGCACTAAAACATGGAATCCGGAATCCGGAAACGGAAACGGAATCACGGAAACGGAAACAGAATACGGAATCAAATATCAATAATAGAAAATTAAAGAATTTCACATTACACAATTTAGTACAATCCAAAGAGAATTTGTCTTAGTTTTCTTGGCAGTTCCCTTAAATATATATGCTTGTTATTGTGTCTTAATAAGGTTTGCCGTAGTGTGGGGTACTACACTGCAAGGCCGATGAAAGTAATTTTATGAGTAATTTTTATTCACGAGTTCGTGGGTTGAATAATACACTTAAATATTACTTTTGTAGCTAATTGTCAAGAATAGTCGTAGTTAGCCTCAGACCACACCACGTGATTGTCCCCAAACTGAATACTCCACATATGACCGACCGGTGACGTGACCACAGTTCCGGTGTTTTAGCGATAAGTTCAACTTTTTTGCCAAGCTGAATACTGATGGAATGCTGGTGTACCGGTAATTGAGTTTACGTGGACGTCCGTATTTTTGTTGAAGAGGCTTATTAAACATGGCGCATTACTTTGATGTAATCGGTTGCGGAATCAAGCAAATGCATGCACAATTCTCTCTTCTCTTTGGACTCCACGATGCCATGGTTCTCTTGAGTAAGTTGTCTTGATAAATAAAACTGAACACCGTTGAAGACAACCCAGAAAAGACACTGAGAAAAACATGACGGCGACGCCTTTAAGTTATGTAAACGACGTCTCTGACAATTCAAACGAAGTGTGTCTCCATATAACTTACCTTTTTCTTAAGGCACTATTTTTTGTCAGTAACGTTTTTCTCCTCGCTTTGCTGTCCCATGAGAATTTGCATTCATTGCCGATAGTGGTATCAGGCGTCTTTTCACCGGAATCGACTCCTCTAGTGATACAGCAGTCTCCTCTCCTCTACTCAGCTAATTTATTCATTTGTGTCTTTTTTTATCTGTTTATTTATTTCATTGTCATTGCTAATATTCTTTTTTTCAAATCGATCGCTTGGAACCTTCTTTCACAGATTCCGTATTCCGTTTTCGTTTCCGGATTCCGTGTTTTAGTGCTGCCGTTTCAACATTCTCTTGATCATTTATAGGGTCATAGGAATGTATGATAGTGTTGTGGTTGTTTCTTAGCCATTCTAGCGCTTCTGTAACTGCTTCTGAATCAGGTTCAAAGATTGCTCTGTTGTGATCTACGATATCTTGTATTCCTTGTTCATAGAATTTGGATGCATATGTATGATCTTTTCCAAGGAGATCTGCTTCTTCCCTCCATGGATAATACAACATAAGTATATGGTGAAAAAACATTTCAGGTTCTTTTCTTTTATTTGGTCTATGATATCTGATGACTGCTTTCACTTTTCTACATTTCATTGTTTCGTTAGTAGTCATCAATGTTATTTTTCCAGGTAATGATAAATCACTAGACGTATTCCGACTGTGTTGCATTTCAATTAAATTATCAGTTAGTACTTCTGGTTGTGCATCAATAGTTTCACTGTTCTCTTTTCTATAAACTTTGTAATAATAAGCTGCAAATTGTGCAAGACACAGATTATTTACAGCAGGTATAGAGGCTGGTCTAATTGTGTACCGTTCAATGATGTTGGATTTGAATATCTCTGTACTCTCATCATCAAGGTCATCAAGTTCCTTTTTTGTCTTTGTAACTCGTATCCGTTTGTCTGGTAAGTCAGTACTGATAAATACTGTTGCAGGGAAAATTTTTCTTAACCAAAGTTCAGGCATACATCTGTATACACATTCTTGTGAGCTGACTTCTCTTGTTGATAGAAATGCAGCTCTTATTTTTCTTAAGCTGTCTCTAATGTCCATATTGTTAACTTTCGCTTCTTTAGCTGCATTTATTATTGCTTGTGAACATTCCGTTTCATCCTTTGAGAAATAAGAGCAGATATACGTTATGCATTTATAATGGTCAAATACTGGCTGTAAGTCTACATTGGCCTCAAACCCCTTTATACCAGCTATGAAGTAGTTGTTTATAAAACAGCTGTCAACAGGTCTTTTTAAATGTAACTCATAGTTAGAATCTGGTGAAACACTTAGTGCTGAATAATATTGTTCTTCTGTAATGCCAACGGAATTAAAAATATCATGTTCAGTTAGTGTAGAATTATAGCTAGACTTACTTGGATCTAAAAAGTGATCTATTTCCTGTTTTACTAAAGAAAGGATTTCTTTTCGTTTTTCCAAAAGATTAGTGTTATTAGTTTCATCCAAATCATCAGGAAGAGGTTCTGCAATAATCGTAGAATTTGTAAAAAACTGACCAAAATTAAATCTACACTGAATGTTTTTATATTTTCTACATGCTTTAGAATGATTATGCTTCTGACACATTTTCACTAAATTGTGCAATTCAAGATCTTCTTCCATACTTGGCAGGTAAGCCTGTACATGTTTATCGATGTACTTTATATACGCTTGTTTGTTGTCATGGCTTAGCTTAGAGCAGTAATCACACCATATAAGTGCATGTAGGTGAGGACTCCCTCGCATTTGAAATTCAATACGAAGAGCATAGTAAACTATTTTACCGATTGGTTTAGTCTTAGTGACCAACACTTCTCTGAAAAATGTTTCAACTCTATGCTGGAAATGTTTAGCAACTATGACAGGATTGAGATTAAGCATTTGACACCTTTCATTGTAAGACAATGTCTCAACTTGTTCATCAGTCAGATTGAAACAGTTCGGACCATCTTAAATCAGCACAAGATAATGTCATGAACCATGTTGGAATGCCAAGTTGTTTGACCATTGCAATTACTTCATACATGAATTTTTACCAGTATGGTGGTGTTCCTGGTATCTGCGTTAGAAATAAATATGCTTGATTTTGGCAAATAAGGTTTACTAAGTTCTGAGGATTGTTTCTTAATTGAGAAGCAGTGACAGATTGGCCATGAACTTTCTTTAGGGCAATATTTATACTATCTGATACTTTCTTTTGTTCTACTATGAATTGTGCAAAAAAGAGATATTCAGGATTTGTTGCAAACTTTCCACTGTAATGCAAAAGTCTTGCATTAAAGTATTTTACCGCTGAAATTGTAACTTGTCGTTCCGTTGTATATCCATATGTGCCTTTAGGAAACAATACTGGAAATGCTAATTCTTCACACTGTTTATCAAGCATAAGTGAGACAGGATGTTTATTTTCTCCAGGTGCTATACTAAAAACTTCATTTCCTACTGATTGCTTATTATGATCTGTTATAACAGGATAGTTGGGTATTACTGACTGTAAGCATGTTTCATATACAGGGGCTCTATATTCATCTAAAGGGTCACCATTTTCCTCATCCTCACTATTTAATTCATCATCTTGTATTGGATCACAGTCGGATGGATTATCTGTTGTTACATTTTTTGATGTTGATTGTAGATCTACATCATAATAGTCTGTATTATTTTGTAAAGCTGTGAGATTGCTATTGATATTGTTAATATGAAGTACTACGTTTTTATACAATGGATTGTGTGCTTTAAGCCACTTAAGAGCTTGTTGTATCAACTCTGGTCGTACTGCTTGAAAGTAAACATGTCCTTTAAATTTTAATTTTCTTTTAAGCTTTAGCATTATTATACCAGATCTCTCAGGTGGACGGGGAGTTCATTACATGTTTGATCACATTCGACAGGTACATTACATATTGCACCTTTAATTTTTTTCTGTTGTCCTTTGGGTATGACAACAATCTTCTGAAATACAATACGTTTAGCTATAAGTATTTGTTCTAATTTTTCTAGTGAGGCCAGTTCTGAGGGTATTTCATCAACATACATATTATTCACAATACCCTGACATGGTAATTTTCCTTTTATGACTTTTGAATGGCATGTCTGGCATATATATTCTTTACCATCAAATGATTGTTGAATTTTAAAAAATGCTTGACAAGGGTATTTGCTGGTTATGCACCTTATTACTGATTTCTTATAAAGTAATCGATTACAGACAATACATATAAAATAAGGGCCTTCTATTATTATTTTTTTGAATTGTTTAATGCATGATTGAATGGATGTCCCTTTGTCCATCATTCTTTCTTTGATTTTATTCTTTAAATGGTTTTTTGTTCCTTTTTCCATTAATTGGTATTTTACTTTAAGGTTACTGAGCATTTCATTTTTTAATGAAACATCCATTGTTTTGTATTTTTGTGCAGCTTTGCGAAGTAATTCTTTCTTCTTTGCAGCATTCATACATTGATAATTTTGTTTGAGTTTGCAAAGTAATTCTTTCTTCTTTGTATTATCTAAAGGGTGATACTTTTTTGTCAATTTGAAGCATAATTCTTTCTTATTAGTAGGATTCATTTTTGAGTACCTTTTTTGCTTTTTTTCTGCTGTTCTTTTTTTCGCAGCAGGCTCCAAGTTGTCATATATATGTTTTTTACTGCGTTTTCTTATAATTCTTTTCCTTTCATTTTCTGGTATTTCAGAAGAACAGTGAATAAATTGTATATCATACTCCATAGTCTGACATTGTTTATTTTGAACAATATTTAGAATTGCCTCCATTAGTTTATTTACACCACTAATCTGTTTTATGTGTTTCATTGTAGATGAAATACTATCTTCATAAGCCAGAAGCGAAAACAATTGCTTCTCTTTAGTATTTTGTTGGTCAATGCAAGCGATACAGTAACTTGAAATGCACATTAAAAATCCTGTTTTCCCGTAGTTTTTCAAGATCAATGTCTTTAAAGATATCATGTTTTCAGGTAAACTAGTTAATTTCCCATGACTTACTTTACTAACATCTACTTTTATTTTCATACCAAAAATTGTAACATTCTCAGGCATATTAATAGATTTGGAATCATAGTCATTTTTGATTACATTGTTAAGCTCAGAGCCATTTTGAATGATTGCATCTAAAGTTTTTGAGTTCCAATAACTGCATGATGAAATAATTGAGTAACAGATGGAATAAAAAGCTACTGCAAACCAGTTGTTTTTCAAACACTTGTGTTGATTTAATGATGTATTATTTAATATATCTTTTACGTTGTTGCTTGTTGTTATGTCATATTTTGTTATTTGTAAACCTTTAAGTTCATACATTTGGTGTATTCCATATAAACTTTGAAAGTATTGTATTAAGTTATCTTTAGATGGTATATCTAACAGTACACAAGTCCCTTGACGATGACTCTTACCATAAATATCTCGGGTATGAGAGTCAAACACTTTAAAATGGCCATTATAAACACAGTAAACAATACTGACAGTAATACAACCAACTGTCAAAATAAATGATATCTATTGTTGTGATATCAATGACTCAAAAGCTCTTTTTAGGCCTAAACAGTATTCGTATCCTTCAATGATAGCCTCACCATGGACATTGCCACTATAGCTTGCACTGTATTCCAGCCGGAAATTTTCTTCTGCTACTGTGAGCATTGTTGGTAACTCAGTTAGCAGTAAATAAGAGCATCTTGCTAGTTGTGATAAACTACTGTAAAGTTGATTGCCAATATGCATTATTTGTTTTAAGGTGGCTCCGTAATTAATACAAGAGGATTTAGCGGTGACAAATTTTCCGTCATAACTTTTTCGATTTTAACGCGATGGCTGCGAAACTTTGTAAAGAACAACAGATATCATTCGGCAATAATACGAAATATTCCGATTTCATTGATGGTAAATATTTCTTGAGAAATTAGCGCTCAAAAGGACCCTACTGTTCAAAGAAAATCGCGTCTAGTAAAAAATTTTGCTGATATTTTTTACTGAAATTTCTAGTATCGGCTTTAATTGATATAATAAATATGCCAGAGGAATTTCAGAAAAATCGTTGGAGCAGAAGTCCGTAACTAAAAGTCGCTCAAAATTCAGCTGTGAAATTGTTTTGGAATTTCAAAAATAAATTACTATCAGGAAGAAGGAGACACCAGTTTGAATTTTCGGGACAAGTAAATTCAGTGTTTGCTAATTCTGAAAACAGAAGCCGATTGCCTATCGTGCTATTCTTTAAAAGGTACTTTTCAGTTTTAGAAGCACTATAAATTGCTCCAAACTTTGCTCTGACGTCGAATGACTTGTTCCTCGACATTTTTAAAATATCCCTTGGCAGTTTTGGTTCAAACTCCTGCTACATACATTTTGATGTATTGCAATGCATCCTCAACGGCTTTTCCTGCTGTACGTTGTTTCCAATTCAGGAAAAAGGTATTGGGATTGTAAGCTACCTTGTATCGAAGCTCAGATAGAACTGTCCAGCACCTTTGTTTATGACCAGAAAATGAGCACGAGCGGCAGCTCTGCGAGGAATTCGCACCTCAGCCAGGGGGGACGAATGACAATGATGCCCATGTCTGTGAACCGATCTGTATAAACATGTATTGCAGAGCAAAACATAATAATCAAGAAAAAAATACCCATTCATTGAAGGAAGGAGTGACAAAAATTTCAGAGTTGTAAATTTATTCACGGGCAGTATTTTTGCGATAATTTTATTTTGCACTGTGATGTTATTCGGTTCACAGGCATGGTCATCATTGTCGTTCGTCCCCCCTGGGTGAGGTGAGAATTCCTCGCAGAACTGCAGCTCGTGCTCATTTTGTAGTCATAAACAAAGGTGTTGGACAGTTCTATCTGAGCTCTGATACGAGGTAGCGTCCAATCTCAATACTTTTTTCCTGTGTTGGAAGCAACGAACAGCACTACAAGTCGTTGAAAATGCATTGCAATACATCAAAATGTATGCAGCAGGAGTTTGAGCCAAAACTGCCAAGGGATATTTTAAAACTGTCGAAGAACAAGTAATTCTACTTCAGAGCAAGGTTTGGAGCAATTTATAGTGCTTCTAAAACTAAAAAGTACCTTTTAAAGAATAGCACGATAGGCAATCGGCTTTTGTTTTAAGAATTAGCAAACGTTGAATTTACTGGCCCCGAAAATTCAAACTGGTGGCTCCTTCTTCCTGATAGTAATTTATTTTTGAAATTCCAAAACAATTTCACAGCTGAATTTTGAGCGACTTTTAGTTACGGACTTCTGCTCCAACGATTTTTCTGAAATTCCTCTGGCATATTTATTATATCAATTGAAGCCGATACCAGAAATTTCAGTAAAAAATATCAGCAAAATTTTTTACTAGACGCGATTTTCTTTGAACAGTAGGGTCCTTTTAAGCGCTAATTTCTCAAGACATATTTATCATCAATGAAATCGAAATATTTCGTATTATTGCCGAATGATATCTGTTGTTCTTTGCAAAGTTTCGCAGCCATCGCGTTAAAATCGAAAAAGTTATGACCAAAAATTTGTCACAGCAAAATGCTCTAGTATTAATTACGGAGCCACCTTAAGTCACCAGAGTTACTGATTCCTTTCGTATTATGGTATATTAAAGCACATAAACTCATTGCAACACATTGCTGCCCTGCATTTTGCCCAAATACATGAACATCTCCTTGACTATATGGTGCTTGTATTGTTTTAGTAGGATCAACACCGTGCATAAGAGGACCAGGGTTTTTCTCTATATCATTTGAAAGCCTGTACCTTGTACAGTTCCTTTTATGAGTAACATTTTTGTACTCACTATGTGGGAAATTGCAGCAAAACAATCTAAAGTATTTGAAATATTTCTTGCCATGTTTATCTTTACTTGAATTGTAACCATATTTCACTAAAGAATTAATTTTTCTTGGTCTAAAAATTGGTTTCCTTCTCATTTTTTGTACAAATCTGACAGCAATCTTGTGTGTACGTTTCTGCCGTCTTGTAGTATGTTTAATAAAACGATGAATTTTCGATGACTTTGGTACGTTTTTCCTCAAACAACTCCATACATAATTCTGTAATTTTTTGTTTTTTTGAGATAGACGTTTTAACATGTTCTCTGGTACTCTGCTAGGTTCACGATCCCGTTTGTACTCATGACTTCTACATTCAACACGACGGTAGCCATACACATATTTTGCATAACCAGATCTGACTTCTTCAACCTTTATTGGCACTGGCATATCATTATATTCACGTACATGAGCAAAATTGTTACCTTTTTCTAATACATCACAGTCCTGAAGACAATTTTCCGTATGTTGTAACGTAGAACTCCATGCGTAGAACAAAACGACATTTATCATCACCTGTACAATAATAGTAATGATGTTCGAAATATCAAGTTGTTCGTTACAAGTATCCAGCGTCATGAAAAAAAGGAAAAGAATCAGGCTGTTGAACAGGAGAGGTAAATTAACGACGATTTGCTTGTTGTTTTTTACCTCATCATCGAAGTTCTGCTCATGAACATTCTTCCTTATTTCAACATTTGATGTATTCACTTCTTTCAAAGTTATTAACGCTTTCAAACGACAGAATTCGTGGAACGACCCATTCCGAAAACGCTCGACATCTTTTAGTGTGGGTCTACCACGAATGGTGTGTGGATTTGTAAGCGAGATCACAGTATAATCCATTAGTCTTTGTAAATTTTTCGTCTTAAAACATAACATTCGGACAATGGTACGTTGTTTTTCGAAGTCTTCACAGAGATTGAGAGCATCGTGTCGATTTTCATCCCCAGATTCTGCGCTACCATGACCCGGAACACGTGTTTACAAAACTGTTCTTTCTTTCACGTTTAGCTGTATTTACTTTTTCGCACGTGAAGGTCAGAATCAAATTACCATAAGATCAGAGAGAGCACGTTTTTACAGTTTTACTTTTTGTTATGTCTGTTTTGCACTTACGATTTTATCGGCTTACTATGTCATATAAGCATGAAACGTAACCTGTTTTAACGAAAAATATAAAGTCTGATTTCTTACATGGAAGAAAAGCACTTAATCGTGATAAACATTGCGCGTTATTCCAGTCATCCCCCAAAATAAACCACATGCTCATCACGAGACTCATTTTCATACAATGAAAGTCGTCACGATTCTTATCCCCAGTTTCCACGGTCTTCGCTAGGAACGCGTGGCCTACAAACTAGGTCCCACCGAAAAAAAAAAAAAAAAAACGAGTGCATTTTCAGAGTCTCGCTTTGCTTAAGCAAGCTCGACTAATAATTACATAATAATCGAAAATTACCAAATATACTAACTATAC